TACTGCTACTGCTACTGCTACTGCTACTGCTACTGCTACTGCTACTGCTACTGCTACTGCTACTGCTACTGCTGCTACTACCACTACTACTACTACTACTACTACTACTACTACTACTACTACTAGTGCTACTCTACTGCTGCTGCTTCTACTGTTACTACTATTCCTGCTGCTACTATAAGCACTGGTAGTACTGCGAGTACTGCGAGTACTGGAACTTACGAGTAGTCCTTGTGTACCAGCACTAGCAGTACTAGCATTGCGAGTAGTTCTTGTGGTACTCGTAGATGCAGTCGTCGTCATGGTGGCAGCAGTGGCAGTAGCAGTACTAGTAGTACTGGTATTCGTGCTAGTTGCTGCAATGACCACACAGGGACACACACACACACACACTGCAGATCTAGTTGGAAGTGCTTCGTGTCAGCTGTCCCTCCTCAGCGCGTAAATGTCCCTAGGGCAGTGGCGGCCCGGACTGACTCATCCGGAAGAAGGGTTGGCATCGCAGCCGCTGTCGTTGCCCGGCCGAGGTTAAGGGTTTGGTTTAGGTTGAGAGCTCGATTAAACTGTCAGTCGAGCTTCAGTAAAGCGTTTTCTCCCAACATCTTGCACCAAAGTGCATTCTGCACCGGCTGGAAGTGGGTCTCCACAGCAATTTCTGACGTCACAACCTTCGAAATCACCGACGGAGGCCATAGCTCCAAAACATGGACAGGTTCGCAGGTTCACCTGCAAGCATTTGCTTGCGCTTGTAGGACTCAGCATGTGCAGAGAAGTTGATGAAATTTTGGTGGGCAGCAGCATCCCTGAACTACGCCATGACATTATGATACTGTAATATAGGGGCCGAAATAATTACCATTACTGTTTTAGTGGTTCCTTAGTACAATTATGGTATAATGGGCCACAAAACCCTATTCTAATTATTAAGGACCCGACCTTACAAAGAAAAATGGCACACGCAGCCTCGCAATCCCTGGTGCCCTCTGAGGTCCTGGCGGGCAAAGGCCACTTCACGTAGCAGTGTTCCATTGGTCGGTTACGTTGCGCTACAACCATTCCATGTTATGTCTGGAAGTTCTGTTGAGACTCTGTTGTTCTTAAGCCTTGGAGCTGCATGTCGTGATGATTGCCCAGCATTTCTCGGGCCTGTGCGAGTGTGCCGTTTCACGGAGTCTGGGTAGCTCTCCAGTTTCAGGATGCTAGCAGTGCTGCGAAACTGTGTGCACCCGCACACTTTCATTTCATCCTCTCTATGTCCTTGCACTACTGAGCTGCCACTGAACCTGCTCTTCGAACAGTGTTGCTTCGATAAGCTTATCGGCAACTGCTGGCCATGCCCTACTCTACGTCTCTATGTTCTTTCCCTTGCTGGTTCCATTCTGGTTTAGGGTTAGGTTTAGGCGCTTCGGGACTCTGGCAACCGGCACGCAGATTCGCATTCGCTGAAGAGCTTGAGGTTTCCGTCTCTTTTCCCACTCAGTGTCTTTGGACTTGTGGCATTTAGCCTCAGAGCGGAACTCTTGCCTGGTCTAAACCCTAAATGACCCGTCTCAGCAGACCGAAGCCCTATCGCCGTAATCCGGACAGACCCCTAAGCACTGGACATTCCGAACTTTAGCTCCCGAACCTCAAACTCAACCCCCAGATGTGCAGCGAAACCGTGTCACCTGGGCCTCAACAATCTTAGTACTTTCGGGTGTGCGTATGTTATGTAGAGGAGAAGTAACGGCAATGAGGGGACACCGCCACCGCTACTATTCATTATTCAGACCAATTGAAACCCTCATAAGCCCTTAATTAAAGAAACCCCCTTGCACCCGGCAACACACGTAGCAAAAAAAAACATCGAGGGTTTGTAGGAGCAAAGCCTGCGGCAGCCCTCGGGGGGCCAAGTAGGGATACGGGTTTTGGATCGTTCCTTCTCTCTAAGCCTTCGCCGCATCAGTCCTTCAGCGAGACCATGAGCAATGCCAAGAAGGCTGCCACAAAAATATTTGACTTCAGTGCCTTGGCTTCTTCATGCAAGTGGAATCGACAAGGCTAGAATAAAGCAAGGAGTCAGACACCAATCAAGCGACGGTAACGGTGAATGTGCCCCCGTCGCTGCAGCACTCAGTTAGTCTTTTGTATTGCAGAAGTCAGTCCTTGCACCGCGACATTTCAATTCGGCAGAGGCCCGCCCTCAATCCGTTGCCCCTTGCTCCTGGCTTGCCAAACCAATAAAGCAGATTTTCGTGACGATGCAAGACGCCAGCCGTTCTCCTCCAGTCACTCCAGTCCCGAAATATCCGGCATCCCGACCATACGAGCCTTCCGACGACGTTTCCTCGGCCAATCGTTCAATCAAAAGACAGGTGCGACTAAGCGACCGTTCCGGGCCCGGGTTGTTGCCTGTTCCTTCATGGCCGTTTCGATTTTGGACGTAGTCACTCTCCATCGTGTCCAGGTTGGCCACCGTTCAGGATTTGGGTCTTCAGGGGACTGCGGTGGGTGAGGACAGTCGTGGGGAGCCGCCTCTGGGAGGTTCTTGTGATGTCTCACCTTTGCATCATACTGCCGAAGAGGCTGCCCATTGTTGCTAGCTTTTGGCAGGAATCTACAATTTAATTCGAATACAATGTGAAGCCGGAGTCCTCATCGAAAAAACGAAGCCTAATCCTAAACCTTTTTTTCCCCTCCCACAAACTGAATCCCAAATCAGTTTCTTGACTTCTCTTGTAAATTGACGGGATATGCCTGATGAGGTCACGGCGTACATGGTGGACTGCATGGCCATGGCATCAAAGTGTTTTGGGAAGCCTGTCTTTTCGGCCTTCCATGGTCTTGGGATTCAAGGGTTGAGGGTGTTGGGTCTATACGTTTCTGATTCCGAGGTAGACCACTAGGAGAGGTTGCTTGGCTTCTTCTTATCGGACGCACGATGATCATAGATGGATCCTGGTGAAGGCTTGTAGGCGCCAAGTGTTGCCTAACCTCAAGGAGAAGTTGATTTCAAAAACACAACGTGGCAGGGCATCTCTGGAAAGAACCACTAGCAACAAGCAGAGCAATATCCCCTGAAAGTCATTGTTTGGATAATACTCTAAATACCCCAAACTACACTTCCAATGATAAAGTAAGGCATATACATCACGTTATGTAACCCACTCCAGAGCTCTGACCTGCCCTTGCCGAGCATTGCTTGCTTCGTAACATATTGATTACCGCGGTTTGGGGTTTACGGGGGCTTCGTTCAGAGCTTCAAGTATGAACAACACAAACTGCAACTTCAAGTCTTAACAAACATTTGGCAATCTGCAGCCTCTTGAGGCCCTTTGGATGTTTGTGGGCACCGAAAATATTCCCGCAAGGATCGCTGCAGGTCCAAGTACCTCGCAGCAAGACTAGCTTTTTTGCACGGGGGGGGGGGGGGGGATGTATGCATTAAGGCCTCGAGTTTGGAATGGCGCCAGAAGGCTTCTCATTTGTTGTGAGAGTCTGCTACTTGAGTTGAAAGCTCTTCGCACAATCGGCGACATTTCAAGGAGATGTTTCCTCGCAGCACAGCGCGGGTCTCCGAGCTCTCTTCCGAAGGCGGCTTTCCTGCAGAAGGCTATAGCGAAGGGAGCTCAACCGCGCAGAAGGCAACATGGGCAGTCGTTCAGACATGAACTATACCGGCATACATAGGAAACAATTGAGGCCACATGAATGGTCCGCTGAGCCCCCTGATCATTCTGGTGTTGTGGTTGTTGTTTAGTTCCGCGCCTTCCCTGAGCTACCTTCTGTTACAAGCACTGGGGTCCTTCTGGTGGTCAAGATTTATACTTCGCTACATACTGGATTTACTTCATCATGCTACTCCAACACCCTACACTAGACAAAGCAGGACATGAGGGTCGTCGCTCTAGTCTCCCGGATTCAGCGGGAAGGATAGGGGTGAATACGCGTTGTTGGTCAACCCCTCGCCAAAGCTTGACATGCAAAGATAAACAGGAACCGAGAACTCAAGTAGCCCTGCATCCCAGGCGCTCAGATGCAGCACACCACCGCCACTTCGCAATTCCGACTGCGCCTACAGGAAGAAGCCAGGCGCAAGAGTCCCCTAAAGGGGTCGGACATGCTCGTTTCAGACTGTTGGTCGCAAAGAATCAGCTTTTAAGGCTCAGTTTATTGATGTTGGTCTCGGTCTGAACCTCTGCTCCTGCGGGCGAGGACTGCTGATGCTCGATTGCCTGTAATTTCGGCTTACAAGAAGAAGCCTTGAACTGTTCTCAACATAGCTTGTGAACGATCCAATTCAGCAAGAAACAGTAATAGCAGTGGGGGGATTGTTGAGGACGGCGTACACACCACACCTGCAACTGTTGGTGGCAAGCCATATATATATATAT